GAACCACTTAAAGACTCTAAGAATTGAGAAAGTTATGACTTTGTGAAGTTGGTGAAAATTCATGAGATGACCTATAATCTTTTGAGTTCTTAAGGCATCTTCCACTTATTTTCAAACTCTGCACATAAAAAGAGAGTTGAATTTCACATCCTTAAGATCATTGTGGAAAAAGAATGGGCTCAAGGAGATAAAAATTGACGAAGTTATGATCTTTTGAAGTCAAACCCTAAAATTCAAAGGCCTATCAAGGAGACTTGTAATCTTTCTCCACCATTGGGAATCTTCCACACAAAATTTGCTTGAAACCTTTGAAGTGAGTGGTTGATAACCCTTTAAAGAGAATCAAGTCTTTGGAATCACTCAAAATACCAAAATATGAGCAAGATATAACCCTTAGAAGTTCAAAACCCTAGCTCCTCAAGCCACAAAATGCCTTTGGGAACCCCCTTTCAATTTTGACAAACTTCCTTGCACAATTACTTTTTCCATGTGAATAAAAGTTGTTGAGGATGATAATGAGAAACCATAGCAACCATAATCACTTCCAAACATTAAGAATTGAGGGAATTATGCACTTGTGATTAAGGAATCAAGAACTTGTCTAATTAGGTCAAATCTCTTCAATCAACCCTTGTATCTTTTGACTTTCTTTGACAAATTGAGGCATGATGAATCATAGTAAACCTTGTCATGATATTATTTCAAGGTATCTTCAATGATGAAGCTTGAATCTTAATGAAGTTTTGTTTAGGAAGGCATGGAAATAATCTCATGAACCTATGAATCAACTTGATCAAATGTGTTTGTACCCTTACTTATGATGTCAACAATTAGAGCAAACATTCATTGTACTTGTTAGTTAAAAGTTAATCAATACAAAACATAGATGATCACAAAATATGACTCAAAGTGCTCAGTGATTTCTCATGAGCAAACTTAAAGATATGGAGAAGAACCAAATCCAATTGTGATTTTGATATGGTTGAATTGATATGAGATGATAGAGGAATCTTAGGGGCAAAATTGGGGTACAACACACACTTGTAAAGTTTTGCCTTATTTAAACATTGAAGCTTCGAGACGGTGATCATCTTCGACCTTAATTTCCAATACGGAATAACTACTACTCCATCTATCCGAAATTAAATGTCAAATTTAGAAAAATTATTTATCCTAAAATACTTGCCACTTTAGCTTACCAATGTTATTTTAATTTTTATCTTCCAATTGTACCTTCTAATTAATACATTTAATTTATTATTTTCTCATTTTGTATTAATGCTAATTCAAATAAATCAATAATTAATCAGAATAATTTAATAAAATTATTATTCTCTCACTTTCATTTATTACATTTTTTTAAATATATATGAAAGTGTCAAATATGAGACTTAATTTAAAACGGAGGGAGAGACATTTTTTTAACTCTCATAATATGGTGAAGAAATTCTTCTAAAAAATAAATAGGATTATAACTAGTGGAGCGGATTGATCATTTGGATTAAAACTGAATTAAAAAATTATTTTTACACTTCTTTTTAATTATAAGTCACAATATTTCCTTTAAAAAAAATTTCTTCAAAGAGTAGAGAGAAAAACCAATTAATATAATCAATTTAATTTCATAAATTTGACCTCTTATAATTTCTTAATTTATAAAACAGAACAAATACATTAATAATTTTAATATTTTCAATAGATTTATTTGTCATATATTTTGGTGTCTTTAGAATGTCTTTATATTTATTTGAAGGACGTGCCCTGCTCTTCAATATAAACAGAATTTTGGAGTTATATTTATTTGTCATATATTATGGTATCTTAAGAAAATTTAGAAGGACGTGCACTGGTCTTCGATATAAACAAAGTTCCACCGAAATTTCACCAAATGCATACAACTTCTTTTTTGTGAAAGGCAATGCATGCAAATTCTGATGTAGCTACAAATAATTCATCATAGGCCCAACAGAACAGTAAAAGCATTGATATTCCCCGTAAATACACTCATCCCTATGAGATTATACACCCATTCGTATTCTTACTAAATACTCATCAATTGCATTGAATATAAGTTGTTAAATCTTTTTAGATATAAATTTTAAATTATTCTAGACAGTGTTTTTTTTTTTTAAAACTATCGTGTTTAGTTTTTGTAACTCCATTTTCATTTGTTTATTTATTATTAAATTTGGAACTGTCACAACTAATAAAATTAATTGGATTTTTTACTAACTATTAGTTTCTTCAAAAATAATGACCAATTTATTTTTATATAAATTCATCTTATTAAGAGTTGTTCACACAATTTTCTTTATACAAATTCATTCTTTATTATTTCTTTATATAACATTTGTTATTATTTGTTATTATATTTTTTTAGATACAAAATTTAAATTATTTTAAAAGGTGTTTTTGGGTAAAGAAACTATTGTATTTAGTTTTTGTAACTTCTTTTTTATTTATTTATTTATTATTAAATTTAGAAGTGTCACAATTAATAAATTTAATTGCATCTTTCACTTTCATTTTTGTATATATATATATATATATATATATATATATATATATATATATATATATATATATATATATATATATATTTCTTTTATAAAGTTCTTCTTTTATATTTTATTTTTATTTTATATTTATGTTTTATTTTTATTTTTTATTTTTTATGGTATAATACAAACACCATTTTAAATTTGTATAATAATTTTTTTGATAAGATATTCAAAACTTAACAACAAGGTATATGATTTAAAGTTTTAAATTTTTTTTAAAAAACAAATTCTTTGACTTTAAAAAAAAAAGAAAATATAAGAAAAAAAAAAGATAACTTCAATTGCATTAATATTAATGATAATAGTTATGTTGACAAGTATTTAAAATAATAATTTCTCTAAAAAGATCTCCAAAATTTAACATATTGATTGTGTTTGGTTTGACGGTGGACATAATTGATTCTAACAAAATTGAGTTTGGTAGAATTGATTTTATTATAATTGAGTTTAGGAGAATTGATTTATGTTTGGATATAATAGAAAAGTGGGTTGAACAATAAATTTCATTGTAAAAATCATCCAAAATCAATTCTGAAGGCAAGCTACGAAGGAGAATATATTCTAGAGACATAATCAATTTTACTTTTTGTCAAACCCAATATCTTAAAATCATCCAAAAACAATTCTACACCTATAAAATTGTTTTTGATCCTTCTAAAAGTCAAATCAAACATGCACTAAGTATACGTGTTAAAGTTTTAAATTATTTTAATAATAGTGCATGTCTAAATTAAAATATACTCTATAAAATTTATATGTTAATGACAAGATTTTACTCCATTATTATATAAATACTATGTTCTTTCTATCCTATGACCATATTTTTCTTTATTTTTTTCTTTTATATTTTTTTCTCTCATATTCAATTCATTAGCATCAAAATTATCTCTCAATTAATCAATTCTTGAATATTGATAATGTTATTATTGTTAATTTTATAGTTTCAATAATCTATTTTATTAATTCTCTGTAAATTCTATCATTAATTTTTAATATAAATTCTCTATATATTCATACGTTATTTTTGAACATATTATTAAACTTTTCTCTTTTATATTTACTTTTTAATTAATAAATATATTATATTAAATTTTGTTTAAATATTTAATTAATTAATACAAATATTATTATAATTTTATAGGGAGATCATACTAGTTAAACCATATATGTCTTTTTTATTAAATTTAATGAAATATCGGAAAATAAAATAGAGAGGTATATTAGAAATTACAATATTAAATAATTTCGTAATAATTGACTTTTGCTTATAATAATGATCAAGAATTGAAGTATTTTTATTGTTTATAAATATGTCGAAAGGGTATACTTCAATAATAATTTAGTTAAAATTACTTTAGAACCAATTTATATTTATAAGCTAGTTTATAATCCGTTTGCAATTTTAAACTAATTTGATATTTTCATTTTTAAAACCAATTTAATTTAATAAAAAGATTTATATGAAAAAATAATTTTTTTTATTTATTGAAAGAATTTTTTTTTTTTCAGAAATCATTTTTTTCAGAATTTATTTTTTTTTTGAAAAATTAATTTTCAAAATTTTATTTAATTCAGAAACTTTTTTTCCTGAAAAAAAATATTTTTTTCAACATTTTTTTTATTTTCATAAACTGATTTTTCTAGAATTTTTTTTTTTAATTTTCAAAATTATTAATTTTATTTACTTTTTTAATTTTTCGAAATCATATTTTTCAGTTATTTACTTTTTTTGGATTTTTTATTTTATTTTTGGAAAAAAAAAATTTCTGGATTTTTTTTTTTAATTTTCAGAAACTTTTTTTTAGATAAACTTTTTTTTTTCAAAAAGCAAAATTTTATTTACCAAAAAAATAATTTTTTATTTATTTTTGGAAATTAAATTTTTCAGGATTTTTTTCCAATCTTTTTTTTTTTGTTTAATTTTCGGAAACATTATTTTTCAGAAAAGTTAAAAACAGTTTGGAGACTGTTTTTTTCCTGGAAAAAACACTTTTTTTTCAAAAAACGTTTTATTTTATTCTCGGTTTTTTATTTATTTTATTAAAAAACTACTTTATATAATTAAACTAGTTTATAAAAGGGAAACTGATTTTAAATTAAATTTGAATTGTTTAAATTAAATGATTTAGTTCATTAATTATTTAAGTGGTTCAATTTTTTATAATATAATATAATTTAATTTAAATATATTATCTCTAGTCTTATTTATAAGAAAAATTATTTTTTTAAATATATTGAATAAATAATGTATTTGGACAATTATTCAAATATATTAAATAAATAATATATTTGGAGAATATACTATCCAAATACATTCCTCATTCAATGTATCTAAAAAAATTAACTTTTTGTTATAAATAGAACCAAAAAGAAGACAATTCAATTAACCAATACTCTAACACTCACCTATAAAAGCATAATCCTGGATGTCAATAATTCATGAACCAAAAAATGTCAACTCTTGTTATTTTCCCTTTAGCTCTCTTGCTATTCATCTTCTTGTTCAAAAAACACAAAATATCATCTAAGAAACCAACACTTCCACCCGGTCCCAAAGGCCTTCCTTTCATTGGAAACTTACACCAACTTGAAAGTTCATCTCTAGGTCTAAACTTCCATGAACTCTCAAAAAAATATGGTTCTTTAGTTTTCCTCAAACTTGGTTCAAGGCCAACACTTGTTGTTTCTTCAGCTAAAATGGCTAAACTAGTTATGAAAACACATGACATCGATTTCTGTAACAGACCCGCTTTAACCAGTCTTATGAAACTCTCTTATGACGGATTAGATCAATTCTTTGCACCATATAGAGAATATTGGAGACACACTAAAAAAATCTCATTCATCCAATTTCTTAGTGTCAAAAGAATAGCAATGTATTATTCAGTTAGAAAATACGAGGTGACTCAAATGATGAAGAGGATATCAGAACAATATGTGCCTTCCAACAAACCTGTCAACCTGCAAAGTCTTCTTATGTGTCATGCAAGCGCGATCGTTTGTAGGACAGCGTTCGGGAGAAGGTTTGAAGAGGAAGGAACCGAGCGAAGCATGTTTCAAGATCCGCTTAGAGAAGTGCAGGCATTGATGATTGCATTCTTTTACACAGATTATTTGCCTTTTCTTGGAGGGATTATTGATAAGGTTACTGGAATGATGGCCCGTCTTGAGAAATTGGCTAAGTTTTTGGATGGATTTTATCAGAGTGTTGTTGATGAACATCTTGATCCTGAAAGGCAGAAGTTGCCTCCACATGAAAAGGATGTTGTTGATGCTTTGATTGATTTGAAGAATGATCCTTACTGCTCAATGGATCTCAGTGCCGAACACATCAAACCCTTGATCATGGTTAATACTTTTATTTTTCTTCACTCTAATTTTCGTCTATAATTCAATTTTTAATTTGATAATTATAAATATTTTTTCAACAAACGGGTTGATATTGATTTTTTTAATATTGCAGAATATGTTGTTGGCGGCAACAGACACTGTTTCGTCTGTGACAGTTTGGGCTATGACAGCGCTAATGAAGAATCCAAGAGTGATGAAAAAAGTACAAGAAGAGATTCGAAAAGCATATCAAGGGAAGGGATTTATAGAGGAAGAAGATGTTCAAAATCTTCCATATCTCAAAGCAGTTATAAAAGAATCAATGAGATTATACCCAATATTGCCGATACTTTTCCCAAGAGAAACCATGAAAGAGATCGAAATCGAAGGGTACACAATTCCTAACAAGACATTAGTGTACGTGAGCGCTTGGGCGATTCATAGAGATCCAGAAACATGGGAGAATCCAGAAGAGTTTTATCCAGAGAGATTTCTAGGAAGTGATATAGATTTCAAAGGACAAGATTTCGAGCTGATTCCCTTTGGTTCGGGGCGAAGAATTTGCCCCGGCTTAAACATGGGGGTTGCTACTGTGGAGCTTTTCCTTGCTAATCTTTTATATTCGTTTGATTGGGAAATGCCCGAAGGAGTAAAGAGGGAAGATATAGATGTTGATGTTCATCCAGGACTTATTCAACACAAGAAAAATCCTCTGTGCCTTGTTGCTAAGACTAGAATTGCATGTGTGTGATCTAGAATGTGTTCATGTTATGTCATTTTTATGTTAAGAAAATAAAGCATGCATTGCATGTTGTGACTAGTATCATTTCTCTTGTATTGAAAAATTCTATGAATGATGTGTTGGTTTTGCATGTTATTTTACAATCCATTTTGTTTCTCTTTGATTTCATTTCTTGTTTCATTACTTCTTTGAGGCTATATTTTATTCTTAATTTACTTGTTAATTCTCATAAGAAAATCTCTTCTTATAGATTTTCCTTCTTCTAATAAAGTTGTAGTAAAATCAGCCTCTCAATATTGATTACTCTTTTGAGGCTAAATTTGCCAATATTAGATTAAAATAGTTGTATGTCTATATTTCTGCAAAAAAGATTTATTCACAAGTTTGGAAATTCATACTAAATACTACATAGAAGTTAAAAATTACTAGTTTTGGTTATGAATACACCAAAATCAGTTCAAAAACCATTAACTAAAACTGATCGGTTAACAAAAAAAATAGTTTGATTCATAAAGGTAATAGTTTGGTTAAAAAACACATAGCCCATTGCACCCAACCATAAAGCTGGTAATGTTTGGTTTTACTTCCTGAATCGAACCATCAACCGTTCTATAGGTTATCCATCTATATAATATTAATAATTACATGGATTAAAGATGTTATTGGAACCTATTGAAAACCAAATTTAAAAAAAAATTATTTAGAGCCGTATTTTTCCTTATGCAATTGGAAGATCTCTCATTTGATCTATTAGATCAAATTCCATACTAAAGAGAAATCAATCAAATTTTTAAGAGTTGGAAAATTGTCATTATTCATTTTTATCTTTTTCTCCTTTTTCATAGATTGGTGTTTTAGAATATTGCATAGTTTGAAAGTGCTACGTGTCACATGCCAACTCATGTTATGCCAACTCATGTTTTACTTATTTCATAATTTTTTATTAATTTTGTATTTAATTTAATGTCATATTAAAAATACTCTTCATAATAAAACAATATAATATTATAAAAACTTAAATAAATAGATTGAAATCCTAAATTATTAAGGTGAATATGAAACTCAACCACTCCCTTCTTCCCTTTGCAACCTAATGACAGCTATCTCTATTGTTCTTCTGTTCTTTCTAATTTCTTTTTCCATTTTTACAGCATTTTCGTTAATTATCTTCTTCTTCACTAATGGTTGACTCAAATTCTCATTTACCTCAACTAACCAATCAGGTCTTAGAAAAAGAGGAATTAGATGCTGGTGTGATCTTGAGTCCCCATTGATGACTTCATGGACGCATGAGAATCCTAGAAGAAGATTTCATGGATGTTGTAATTTTAGGGTCACGAGGAAAAAAGGATGTAACTATTTTCAATAGGTTGATGAAGAAATGAGTAGTCGTGCAAAAGAAATGCTTCAATCTTTGAAAGACAAGAATGACGAGCTTATGGATCTAATTAGGGACACACAAAAAATGAAGAAATGTTGAAGATGAAAATTAATTTCATGGGATATTTTTTGATTTTGTCATTGTTTTTGTTACTATTAGTTGTGTTTGTCTTTGTTACAACACATGTAATGAAATGATGAATTTGATTTGTGTAATATGATATAATCTCTCTTTTAATGAAATGAAATGTCTTGATTTTGACATAATATTGGCATAATTTTGACATAATCTATTTGTTTCATAAGAACATGTAATTTAGATACTGGCAGAATTTTGGCACAATCTCTTTGTATTGTAAGAATATGTAACTTAGGAACTGACAGAATTTTGGCATAATTTATTTGTTTTTGTAAGAACCTGTAACTTATATTTTAGCGTAATGTTAACATAATCTATTTATTTCACACATAATGAACCTGTAATTTATAACATAATACAACGTATTTTCACACTTGATTCAAAAAGCTAACACAACCCGTTTTACTTATAGCTAACACAACATGTTTTACTTATAGCTAACAAAACCTGTTTTGACATAAAGCTAACATAATGCAACCTATAAAAACACTTGGTTCAAAAATCTAACATAGCCTGTTTTGACAGCAGAATGGTCCAAAAAGCTAACGTAACAACTTGTTTTGACATAATAGTAACATGGTTCAAAAAACATAACAGAAGATAAACTAATAACTAGTCTTGAGTTGCTTGCGACCCTCCTTCTATAACAGTTTGTGCAGCACCATTCACTAACTTCTTTCCATTCTCCTTTTTGTTTCCATCTTTCGGAATCGCTCTCTCAACTACCCTTTTCCCTTTGCAAGTTCGTTTGTTATGTTCCATGTTCCTGCATTTCTGGCATTTCACAGTTTGATGATTTCAGGGCAAAGAGTTTGTATTTCTAGACAAATCATTTGACTTGTTGTGGTTCTTCTAGGACGGCCAATTACTCTCTGCATGACTGGTGATTTGATTGTCTCAGATCCTTCGAATGACCATAATTGTGGGCCATTTATCGACAAGATAATGTGGCTATAAGTATCCATGACAATAGACCTCTTAGACACATAAACAGACGTGGACATAATATGATAAGCAATTTGAATATAATATTAATTAGGATAAAATTAGTAAAGTTTAATTAATATTGAATTGAAAAACAAAACAATAGATATTCTAAAATAATTTGTTTTAACTACACACACTCTTAGTTTTGGACGAAGAGAGTAGTTGGCAAGATTTAACCAATAAACTAAAGAGAAGCACATATAATAAGTATTGATAAATTCAGTGCCGCCCCTAATATGGTTATGCATGCATCTACGACACACTATATTCCAAATTATGCATGTCAACCTCATTATAAGTGGCCAAATTAATGATGCAATAAAATTCAGCCAAATTATACTTAGTTGAAATATTCGCTTAGGTTAAAAAGTCAACATAGTTGGTGTATACATGAATCATAATGATTAAGTAAATGATATGTAATAATACAACATTTATTTCCAAAGCAAATCTTGACATACTTGGTCGCAGGTTTTTCTACACACGCATTAGAAATACTTCGTTGCAAAAAGTGATTTTTTTTATAAAACAAAAAATCATTTTATTTTCAAAACATGATAATATATTATTCACAATTTTTTATCTAATAATGTTTAGGTTAAATGATCTTACATTTTAAATGAATTATATGACAAAATAACACAATCAACAAAACATCAAATTATGTATCTTAATGTCAATTTTTTATTTACAATCAACAAAACATCTTCGAATCATCTATCCTAATGTCAATTATCATTCAAAAATTAAATAATATCTTTAATTTATAAAAATAAATTTAAATATCTATATCTACATCTCTACATCTAAGTTTCTTCATCTTCAAATGACTGAAAACTTCCATTAATATTATCCTTCATAATCTCCAAAATAAAATAATATAATTTAAATAAAATTATTATTCAAAAACTCAAAAATTATAATATTAAATATAAAATAATTCAATCTTACTTAATCGTTAATTGGAGATAAAAAAAACATATAACTAAGTATACTCAAATGCAATGCAAGCAAAAATACAAAGATGGTGAAAGAAATATATGTACATACATGAACAATACAATAAATTCCTACGTCTAATCTATTGTTTAATTCATTGGGCCCACATATCTTGCCATGGTGACAATCATGCTCTTATCAGAGAGATGATATTCAAATCTTAATATATGAAAGTCCATAAAACAAAGGCAAATACAATGTACTTATGGACAGTGGGTGGGCCATTATTTGTTTCCTTGTCACCAAAATGAACAAGTAATGCATAGAATTGAATTATTTGTATTGTGGGCTATGATATTCATTGATCGGTCATAGAATAATAATAATAATACTATAGATACTCGAGCTAATGGACTCATATTTTAGCATTTTCTCTTCTAAGTGGCATGATTAATTAACTATTAGTCTTTCGATTTCTTTTTAATCGTCACTTTTTTTACTTTCATACATATTAATAAAATCAATGATTGTTGTTATTTTTTAAACAATAATTTTTTTTTTTTTAATATTTTTAATTTTTTATTATTTTAATTTATTTTTTCTCTCTCTACAATAAATTATTATGAGTAATTTTGATAAAACTATCACTAACACTACTTTGAAATTTGAAAGTGACAATTAAAAAAAAAACATAAAATTTTCACAAAAATAATAATTAAAAAAGAACGAAAAGACTAAACAATAATTTTAAGCAATCAAATTTTTATTGCACAACGAATAATATATGTGGCTCCTACTCTATGTCACATCATGTCACTCTATATTTAAATTACTCATGATATATTTTGGTCTAATAGTGTAAATATCACCCATCTATATATCACGTCACAACATGTAAAATCACGTAGAATAACAAGATTGTTACAAGTAGCAATAGTAACACGATCATCATCATGATCTTCATGATCTCTTTGTTTAGACTTACCTTTCTTGCCTTTGTTATCCCTTTTTCACTTATAACAATAATTTTGTACGTGTCTTGTTTTGTGATAATAATGACACTCCAGAATTTTGTATCGTGGTTTGGACTTATTTCTGCTTTTCTCTCTACCACCCTTCGGTTCTTTTTTATGATTTCTCCCCCTATTTTCAGTGACAAGTACCTCAGATTGAGATGAAGAACTTTGTGCCTTCCTTCTCATCTCCTCATTAAGAATACCACCCTTAGCCATTTTCAAAAAAACAACACATCTAGGAGCAGAATTTGTAATAGAAACCCAAAACGTCTCTCAAGACTCTGGTAAAGATAGCAATAAGAATAACTCCAAAAATTCATCATCAAATTTGATACTCATTCTTGACATCTGATCAATGAGCCCTTGAAATTTACTCAAGTGATCTGAAATAGAAGTCCCCTCCTTATACTTCAAACTTATGAAGTTATTCAACAAGAACAGTTTATTATTCTCTGATTTAGAGACATACAAGGACTCTATCTTCTCCCACAAAGTTTTTGCATGTGTCTCATTAACAATATGATTATAAACATTATCTTCTACATATG